CCGGTCCTTGCAAAAATTTTCTGCTTGAAACCAGTCCCTGGTACAAAAAAGGTTGGGGACCACTGTCTTAGACTACAGTATAGTTTTTACCTGTTATTTTAATTTCAACTGCATTACAAATGTGTAATCTCATGCATCCACAGGAAGGCCAGTTCTAAATTCAAATATTCATTGCTTACTCTTTCCTTCCATTCACATCCATAATGCCTCTACAGAAGAGGCGGCTCTGTGAAAAAATTTTTCACACTTACTCTCTCTACTCAGCAGAACTTAGAAAGTTGGGGAACGTTTGTTAAATTGCACTTGATCTAATTTTATTTCATAGGTAATTCTTGGTCATTATTTTGGTTCCATCAAACAGCTAGCCCCGTAGAAATAGTTCTGTTCCAGGCTTTCATTAAACCAGAGATTGCAACCAGTTGTGTGTTAAGATCCAATTTCTTATTTACTATTACAAAGATATTTATAGATATGAATATTTTGCCACTGACCTTTGGACAGAAATGCAGTCCTAGGTACTGTATGCTTAACAAACTATATTGGGAACTCAGTTCACATAGACAAAAAATGTTCAACCCTCATAGTAAACAGAGGGTTAATACTTATGTTTACTAATGCAATGAAGTCCTTTGGTTGGGACAGCAAAATCAGCAACAAAGACTTCATTTATTTTCAAACAAGGGAATTTTTTTAGGGTAGCATAGTTATATATTGCACATGATTGCAGTAATCTGTTAATGGAACATTTTCGTCTCCCTGTATAGATAGTCCTTGACTTACAGCCATTGGTTTGGCGATTGTTCGATGAAAGTGACTTATGATGGGTTTTCCCACTTATGGGCATCACAGCATCCCCAGGATCACGGGGTCAAAATTCAGGTGCTTGGCAATCAGTATGTATTTACAACAGCTGTAGCATCACAGGGACGTGTGATCACCATTTGCAACCTTCTCAGCGAACTTCCAACAAGCAAAGTCAATGAAGGAGCTGGATTTTCTTTTTTAAAAAAATCACGATTCACTTAACTGTGGTGATTTGTTTAACAATGGCAAAAAAAGGATGCAGAGTTGGGACGTAAGTTGAGGAGTATCTATAAAGAATTTTCTAAAATTTCTGTGGTCTCAACGTAATGGGCTGCACCTGCCCCTTCCTCTGAAATCTCACAAATATGCGCATAATGTCTGTACACCTCTTCTATATAGTGGAAGGCAGGATACAATTATCTCCTTACACTTTGGCCCAAAGAAATAACTGTTGCAAGATGGAGTTTTGACCTACAGAGCACAAGTTTGGAGCAAGAACTGTCCTGTCCACATCATCCAGGTAAGTGGTACAGGTGATCTTTGACTTATGATTGTAATGAAGCCTGACTATTATAGTCACGGCAATTGTAAGGCAGGTCATCATGTGACCAACTTTGGGGGTTTATTGTAATTCTGGTCACTAAATGACCAGTCTTGAGTTGAGTACTACCTGTACACTAGAGTTAGGAATAAAATTCGTACTCCTGAAAGATAACATAGCAATAATAATGCATGTCTTCAAAGCTTTTGACAACGATTCGCCCAAAACTCATGAATTTAGGCCGATGCATATTCTAAGGCAACCTTACCCTATGTTCCCTCCAGATGTGCAGATATCAACTCCCAGAATTCACTTTGCAACGTGGTCACTCCTGTGAATTCTGCAGTTATGGTTTGCACATCTGGAGAGCATGTAGTTTGGGGAAGGGTATTCTATAAACCAATCAATCTTAAGGATGACATCATGAATACAGATCCTTCTAAGAAATTATTAAATTTTTAATTCTGGGTGAGCTAAATTCTGAAATACTGCATGTTGTATGCAAGAAAAAGCAATGAAGCCAACTTCTTGTCAATTTATATTCTTGAATCCATTTGAAAAATCTATGCAAGTTCTGCAATATAATTTATGTCAACACAACACAAATCTTCTGTATGCTTTTTATCCATAATTTATTTCTTGTTCTATACAACTTGCTTAATTATCTGAATTTCCAGTATATTATGGCACCACCCCATCCTGGTATATCATCTTACCCGATGTTCATTGATCAAAAGGTCCCGGGCAGCATTAAAAATCAACGTATGCAAATGCTTGGAATAGAAAACCAAAGTGTAGTCATAATCAAAGCCGTAGATTTCTATATCTGAGAGACTCATTTCATTGTTGGAAAAGATAGCATCCGGATTCAACAAATTACTCATGATTGAAGGGACTAAGTCTATGGAAGAAAAAGACACATAGAAACAGAACAGGTATTCATAATATATATCATAAATGGGATGCATCTACATAAAGGGTACTTAATGCTATCCTTTAGCTAACATGAGGCTGATTCTGATCTTTTCAGTAGCTCAATGAGATAGTGGTCATTCAGATTTTCCCAAAGGAAGATCAGGATATAAATATAATAGAGAAACAAAAAACAGACCGGTTGCAAGCTACGCAATAAACTTGCTGCTTGCCTTTTACATGGACAATTTCATGGAAGAAGCCAGATAGGGAAATTAACTCAGAGCTCAAGATGAAGTTACTGAACACCAAATCCATCTGTAATAAACAGATTAATCCACAACTGCAGACGGAAGTACTTAGAATCTGTCACTGAAGTGTGGCTGGATGAAGAGATATCACCCTTCGCAGAGACCTGTCCTGCTGGGTTTCATGTTTTGCTCAACCCTGGTCCTACGGCAGGGAAAATGCTATGGTAATCATTTACTGGGAAATGCTAGCTGTCATGAACAATACTGTTCTATAAACCAGAAGAGTGGTCTAAACTGAGATGCTGAACCAGAGACAAGCTGAGAGTACAGTTATTTTACTGTGTTCCCAGTTAAATAGTGGCATCCCTCACCATCATCTATGAGATTTCATTGTGAGGATGGCTGCTTGAAGCTCCCCTCTCTTTGTTCAATGGAGCTCAGTGGCCATCACAAGATTTGTCCCAGATCATCACTGATCCAACATGTGGCTCTTCTGATTTGTTCACCTTGGGATAATTGCCCCATGATTTGATTCTTGGGAACCTTCCCCAGCCCATTTTCATGAACGGATTACTTATGCTGGTGGGGTTAACTGGAGCTTAGAGGCAACAACATGTCTTTGAAATACAAGAAGCTCCTTTTCTGGATACCCTTTACCTGTTCAATACTTACTGAAACGGTTTGCCCTTTTGTATTTTAAATGTTCATGCCCATACTTTTGCATTGGACTTCCCAGCATGTGGCATGACCTGGGTGATTTTATCTTAGCTAAGGAGTTAAGCAGAGTTTGGCCTGGGTAGCTGTTGAATGGGAGACCACCAGGAGATATACAGTAAGAGCTTTATATAAGACCAGGGATGTCAAACTGGTGGCCCACAGGCCGGATGCGTCATGTGCAGGCCACATCCACCCCAGTTCTGCAAAGGGGGAAACTGTCGCAAAATGTCACATGACAACAATGTGACACCACGAGTTTGACACTTGTGTGCTAGACCAAGACTTCTTGATCTAGCACATGCATCCTAGAAGAATGTAATGGCAAACTACTTCCATAGTATTGCCAATGAAACTATTGTGATAAGTCACCAGGAGTCACATTCAAAAAAATAGTTAAAATAAAAATCCTCATTCAGGCATAAAGTTAATCTTACTCATAAAATTCCTGTGAAGATTAAACTGGAAGGCCATTTAGGCTATCCTGAGCTCACTGGAAGAAGTACAAATACAAGAATTGAATTATTATGTTAAATGCAATGATGCTGAGTTATTAAATTTGAAGTTCAGAAATCATTTGTTATATGGATCATAACTGAGTCAACATTGAAACACTTGAGTATTACATGTAAATTGTTACCTTACCTTAACTTCCCATCTTTCCCACCCTTAAAGATTCAGACCCATGCACATACAAATGAAGCAGATCTTGGACAAATGAAACCAGGAAAAATTCCCACTGATTTTACCAAGATGGGGTATTTTATCTTTCATTTTTACTGAGCAATTAAAAAGTTTCTACAGTTTTTATCTGACATCCTTACATTATATAACAGTTCTTTCCTATATTAACCTAAATTTAAAATAATCATCTCATCTTTCCTAGATTATATTTATAAATTAGATTGGAAAGATAAATTAGACTGAGATATAAAGACTGTACATAAGTATGTAACAGCTTGCCTATTTTATAGCATTAATAACATTGGGTTTTATGGTTAGAAATAAATCTATCATTCTTGGGGGACAATATAATGCAGCAAAATATACATGGCTAAAGTGTTCAGCAAAACTAGTATCACGAGACTACATTAAAAAAATTTACTTTTCCCAACATAGCAGCAATAACAAAGAAATCATGGTAGACTGCCTCTAAGATTTACATAGTTCTCTTCTTTTTAACTTTGTCATCTTTGTGGTTATCTTGACTCTACATAAAGAACCTTTTGTTCATTGCTCAACTTTTCAGTTCTCATAATTTTGACCTCTGTATGTTAATGTTTGAACTATTTGATTCTTGTCTTTTACTGCTGAATTTGATATTACATCTTGTTTTGCATTTTAATTTTTATAATTCCTTACAAATTGCCCAAAGTATTTGACACAGCACAAAAATGTTAAAGCAAACTAAACTACTCCATAATTTGTACAGCTCACTTAAAATATACCAGTACTTGGCTTTCTGTCTTCTTTCTAACTGTTTATAAAACCTGCAACTATCTTAGTAAGATAAAATTGCTTGCATGAAAATCCTTACCTAATAAGGTAAATGAATCTATTCTGGAACACTCTTCAAATCTTGAAGCTACGTAACATAATTTGGCTTTTTAATAAAATGCATATCATACCTGATAAATAGTACTTTGAAATACTTTGAAAAAAGCATAATTTAGCATGGCAGCATGATGCCCCTGCCCTATTTAAACAAAAATATGAATGCATACATGAAATATAGTTTCTGCAGCACAAAATCTAGAGAGAAAACTTAACCTAATTTATGCAACAGCTTATTTGAAAAGCATTGTAAAAAAAAGGGCAAACATCTTAACTCACATACTGTATTGTACTTCTTTGCTGAATTAACTACTGCTACTCTTACTATTTGTTGAGGAAGGTTACATGAGTCTGGTTTGTAGTTCATTTTATTGGAATTCACATGTTATGATAAACCATGGCTTGTTTAGTCATGATTTGTAAATAAATCAAATTGTCCGGTTCACACTACATACTAGTTCACATGCCATGGGTTGCAGCACCTCATCATACAGAACAGAAAGACAACATTATGGTTTTGTACAATATGTGAACTCCAGGTTTACCTTGGAGTAAAATCAGCCAGGAACATATTGCTAGTCCTCAGAAATTTATCTAATTACCGTATTTCCCCCAAAATAAAATTGGGTCTTATATTAATTTTTGCTCTAAAAGATGCATTAGGACTTATTTTCCAAGGAAATACGGTACTAAATGCATCTGGCTGACAATCTTAACTGGGGCTTATTTTGGGGGTAGGGTTTATATTACAAGCATCCTGAAAAATTATGCTAGGACTTATTTTCCAGTTGAACATTATATTTGGGGAAATATGGTAGGAGGCCCTCACAACAGCGATCCATGAAATTATGATTGGACTATAGCAATGCACTCTGCAAAGGATTAACTTTGAAACCATGAGTAAGCCATCCTAATTAGATGGCAGCTGTGCTGAGGCCCTTGCAAGTGGTTGTCTATAGGTTTCCAAATCCAATTAAAACTCTAACCAAGAGGCCTATACTGAATGTTCATTCTCCAGTTTGATTTTTTTTATATAACAGCTTTGCTGCCCAGATAACTCATTGTGATAGAAAGCCCGTGTCTCTATTTTCTAGCATGCTCTGAGCAGCAAAGTAATTTCCTAGGTTTGAATCAAAATATCTTCATGACACCCTGAATCATTCATTCATTCATTCATTCCATGTCCCACTTTTATCTTTACAAATAACTCAAGAGGGTGAAATATCCAGCAGACTTTTTTCCTATTTTCTCCACAACAACTTTGGGCTGAGAGTGGTTGACCAGCCCAAAGTCACACAGCTAGTTTTCATAGCTAAGGTGGGACTTGATTTCATAGTCTCTTGCTTTCTAACTTGGTGCCTTAACCACTAGACCAAAACTGGTTCCATGTACCAACCTCCATGTTACACTGATCAGCACAATCATTATTATTTTGAGGCTGATGAAGACATAAATATTTCAAAGGAACACCAAAAGCAAACTGATCCACAATCATGTTTGGAAGATTAGTATCTCTTACATTTCCTCAATTTTAAAATGGCCTATCACCTTCAACAATGCCTTTACTATGTTCCAAAAGTTTATTTTAAAAAAAAACAATATCCAAGAAGCATAAGTCTCTTAAAAGGGGACACAAGAAAAAGATACCAAACCAGGAATGAATGGACTTTTCAGGGGGTTTTGGACTGTTTTAGATAAAATGATTGTTAATGTTTTGAAAGAATTGCTGGTAAGCTCCATAGTTTTGTTAAAATTCACCAATAGAGGTAAGCTGCAGCTAGAATTTTAAGGAGTGAAGTAAACATGACCTTCTGGTTGTTATTAAAGTGCAATTATCACCCATACCAGCTAGCAAGTCTAGCAACATCTGTTGTACTTAGTAACTTGCATCTCAATCCTCAAGTCATTTGAATCCTCACTTAATTTTCTTCCACTTCTAAATAGGATAGATTTGACAGGTCCATCTTCAAAGAGCAAAAGCTGATTCATGATATATCCAACTAATATGTTGGCCATCACAGAAACTGTCAGGAAAGATTAGGGCTATATTCCCAGGATGGTCACAGTCACAGAGCACTGCACTCACTGTTGTGATTCATTGCAACCAGGTTCATATCTGTGAGACTGAAGATATTTTCTAATGCTTTATAAAAACAGGTGAAATTATCTTATTTCTTCAAAAACTCTACTTTAACCCCTTGAGTTATACAGAGCAATATAACTCCTGTCTAGGAAAACTTACAGAAGGCTTCAGCTTCTTTGTCCTCAGGAGGAAAGTGTGCCAGAATGTAAAGGGCCATTACCAACCATGTCCCATTGATTGATTCACAAAAGCCACTCCTTTGATCATCTATATGAGATGGACAGAATATGCTTGGGAGAGTTATTCCTGGCATGTCCCAACCACACACTTTATAGTAGCACTTTGAATGGAGCTCAGACTCAACTGTAGCAACCTAAGAATAGAAGGAATTCTGCAATGGCAGCAACATTTCTTTATGATTTCTTTACATTTTAACAAAAGAAAGAGCCCCTATAAAAATCTTACCCGTATTCCCTAGGGATTACCCCCTTTTGGGGTTGTTGTTTTTTATCCCCAGTACTTCTTATTCAAAATGCCTCTGATTTAATTATTCTCTTCCTAGTGGCAGAGCTTTGTCTGATTCTCTTGTACATTTGCTTGCACCTAAGGTTCCTAGTAATCCTTACTTGCCTGTGAGGCCAAAGCAAATTAAAACTACTGCAACTGGAGATTCTGATTGGATTTTCACATGTTATTTAAAAGTGAACATTAAAACAACTACTGGGGCTGTAATTTATGCTGCAGCCTAGAATTAAGCAAGTAGGATGTTTAACCTACCTGCCTCCCAGAGTTTTTGAAATAATACCCGCAGGCAGGGGGGATTCACTAAGGGTTTACTATGGGTTTCCCCAAGTCCATTTCCTTATACATTATCCAGAGATCAACAGCACACCGTTCTTCTACCAGGACATCCCAACGTCATAAAAACACCCCAATTTTCTTACTGATAGAGGGCTCCGTGTTTGTGTGTAGAGTACAGGCATCCTCGGCGACTACCTACAAATCCAGTACCACCACCATTGCCTGGTTTGCCACCTGCTCAACTCTCAGCTTCTAAGCTCAAGCCATTGCAGGGCGACAAACCTGCTCCCCCGTGACCTTGGCCAAGGAGATCGCTTTCCCCACCTCGAAGCAGAAGCGCATCACCTCGCACCGTGGAGTAAGATTGTTTTTAAGTCCTTTTGGAGCCCGCCCAAAACGAAGAGGAACAAAAGAGGGAAGTGAGACGAGGAGGAGGGCAAGCCTCCTGACTGCGATCCTCGAGGGGCAGCGAGGGAAGCCGGAAGCTTCGTTTCTGAAAAGGCGCAAAAGCTGCCCGGAGCCAAAACGCGCAACAGGCACCGCGCCAAAGAAGGTAGGCGAGCGCGCTCGCCCTGCTGGGACAACCTCCGCCCCGGTCCCCGATTCTCTCTCACCTTTGGTGACTCTTTTGGCCTCGTTGTAGCTTTTCCACAGGTAGCTCTTCATATCCGGAGGCGGGGCGGAGGGCTGCTGTTGCTGCTGCTGCGGAGACAGCGTGCAGTAAGGCTTCGCTTTTAAGCCGCCGCTGCCAAGAGAAAGCCCGGCGGAGAGGTCAGGAAGAGGCACAGCCGCCGCCGCCGCCGCCCTCCTGCCAGCATTGTCTTTCCCTGCTGCTCTGAGAAGGACCCTGAAGGTACCAGCAGCCGCCACTGCCATGACCAGCTAGCTCCACAGCCTCCAGCGCCTTCAGGCAGGATCGTCGGCGAGGCGCGCGCCGGAGTTCTCCTCTCCACGCTTGCAAGCGCCGCCGGCTGAAGTCACTTCCTCAAGCCCCGCCTCCTCCGGCTTCTCCTCCTCGCAGAAGACAATCCTGGGGTCCGGACGCCGCGGATTGCTGCGCAAGAGCTCCGGCCCCCCCTCCCTCCCTCCCACCCACCCACCCAGCGCACACATAGCGATAGCCCCCCTTAGACTTATATACCGCTTCCCAGGGCTTCCCAGCCCTCTCTAAGCGGTTTACGGAGTCCGCGTATTGCCCCACCAACAATCTGGGTCCTCGTTTTACCGACCTCGGAAGGATGGAAGGCTGAGTCAACCCTGAGCCGCTCAGTACTGCATTGTATCCGCTGCGCCACCACGGCTCCTGTTGCTCAGATGAGCCTGCGGGCTCCTGCGGCCCCTGACATCGCCCTTATTCCGCCGGTGAACGGCCTTTTAAAACTCTCTCGCGTGTTGAATCGAATGCTTTGCTCGAAAAAGGAAGAATTGCGTGGCGTGGTTCATGGTCGGAGGTAGAGGCCGCGCCCGGGCGTTATATTGGCGGCGTAGGGAGGAACTTCACATCTCCCACATCTGGATGGATTTTCCCAAAAGTGCTTTTTTTCAGGAGGCAGCTGGGCTTTCTTGTTTTTTCTTGTCCTGAAAAAGCACCTTTGGGATAGCCATGATCTGGATGACTGAGAATCTACAGATCTGCATGGATTGTCCCCTCAGGAGACTGAAGCAACTTGCGGTTGGTTGGGCCAAGCCTCTTCTGGTTACTTTTGAGTAATCCTGGAGGGATGATGTCCCAGATGAATGGATAGAGATAAATGTCTGTTATCTTCCTTAAAAGGGGACCAGAGTCAACCCAGTCTGGATCCTACCTAACACCACCACTCTGGAGAATGATTGAGTTGTAAGGAATATAGTGATTGGCTCAACCATGAGGTGAACTAGACAGTGACCAGATTCTGTAAAAAGAAACTGTTGAAAAAGGCATGGAAATCTGGAATCATCTAACACACTACATTCAAATCAAAATACTGTATCAAAATACTCTTATCGCATTACAGAATAATTTAGTAGCATAGTATCTGCTGAGCAATAATACAAAGTGTCACATGCAAATGATTAGATGAACAAACATGAGAAGGTTAAAATGTATTTAATTAGTTTATAGCACGATCAGCTGCATAGGCCGCAGCACAGTTGGGCAATTACAGAGGAATGAGATGACCAGACAATCCACTTCAGATTCCATTTGCTGGTGGAAAATGCCTCCTGAAGTGACCATTCAATTACAATGAAAAAGAAAAGGTAACTTGCATTTAAATCTTGACAGGCCTTAAATCTTCACACTGTCATGCTGTAGGACATAAACCTTTTAAAATAATAAGGTATACCTACTGCTAAGCATAATTTGGATGGCCCAATGCACTGCCACATGGGCAGATACGTAAAACAACATTGTATAACGGTTGGGATACCATCAATGGTCTGAAAATGGGCAAACCTTTGGTAAGGTATGCTTTGACAATATTGTACCTAACAACATGGGACAACAACCTGCTTGTATCCCCATTATTGCCAGAGCAGAAAATAGGACATCAACTAATTTGTATTAATATTCAATTATATTACCAATACAGGTCCTCAACTTACGAATATAATTGAGCCCAAAATTTCTGTTGCTAAGTGAGACATTTGAAAGGTGAGTTTTGCCCCATTTTATGACTTTTCTTTCCACTGTTGTTAAGTGAATCACTGCAATTGTTAAGTTTGTAACATGGTTGTTAAGTGAATCTGGCTTCCCCATTGACTTGCTTATCAGAAGGTCGCAAAAGGTGATCACAAGATCCTGGGACACAGTAACCATCATAAATGTGAATCAGCTGCCAAGCGTCTGAATTTTGATCACATGGCCATGGGGATGCTGCAAAGGTGTAAGTGTGAAAAATGGTCATAAGTCACTTTTTTCAGTGCCATTGTAACTTTGAACAGTCACTAAGTGAACTGTTGGAAGTGAAGGACTACCCTGTTTTATGGTTATGTACATAGAGTCATGGTTTTGTTCATTACAGTAGAATATATGTTAAAGAAAGCTCTATCTCAGAAGTGCTTTATTATTAGCCATGTAGTCTTTAGATTTATTACCTTAATATGATACTAGGGGCAACTGCAGGGGCGGATATAAAAGTCAAGGTAGTGGCCATAACTGCTCCTTTTTCTGGGGTGGGACATTAATGACACTGATGTCATTGTGACTTTTTTAACCACATTTCAGAGGTTTGCCCTTGTCTGCTTCCTAGGGCTGAGAGTGAATAATTGGCCCAAGGTCCTTTGGCTGCCTTTGTGGTTAAGATGTGACTAGAATTCATGATTCTCCCTCTTTTTAGTCTGATGCCTTTACCCAGGTGTGTAGAAGTGGCAGCCTGTGGGCCGGATGCAGGCCACGCCCATCCCAGTTCCGTGTAGGCAAAAAACGCTGCACTACATCACATGACATCAACATGACACAGCAAGTTTGACACCCATGCCTTAACCAGGACTACAAACTGACTCGCATCAGTATATTGATATCACTATATTGTCATTAGCATTTAATGGCAATATGTAATGGTAATGTGTAGCTCTGTGGTATATATTTGAATAGATGTGTGGAAAATTTGCTACACAAAGCAAGCCAGAAAGAATTTACTCTGAACGATTTCACCCTTTATATCAGGCAGAATGAAGAGTTTCAAAATATTGTTCGCAAAACAAGAGTTCACATATGAACTTGCAATTACATTCCAGTGAGAAAGTACCAACATATAGTATATGAGGGAAGTGTCAGGATGGCCAATGTTTGATGGACTGGACAAACTGGTTGAAAATGTAAGGTTGTATAGAATCCATAATCACTGGGAACTATCACAGAGATAAAACATTCCATGTGGTTCTTCCACTTCCTTTCTTCTGGAGCTCTAACCTAATTTAGCCAGCTGGGTTTTGAATTTTCAAGGAATATATGGATGTGAGAATAAGTGGAGTTTTTACTTAAGAAACATAAACCTGCATTTATTTTGATGTGTCCAAATATCTGGAAAGAAGAAAATAAACAGAAATGGATGTTATTTTCAGAACTCAGTATGACTGTAGTTTTAAAATAATTTAGATGTTTTCATAGCAGATAGACAGAAAATTGAAATTCATACATAGGAATAAACATACTGTACCTCTACCATTGTAACATTTTTTACTTCTTAGCCAACAAAACCATGCAGCTCTGAGTATGACTTCTCAAAAATAAGTTTTCTTGAGCTCAGCATGGTTTATTCACAGGTAAGCATACTATATGTAGGATTTTATTCTTTACCAGATAAGTCAACATAAATGTCAGTACTTATTTATTTTATGCAATTTATTGGCTGTCCATCTTACCATAGGGTAACTCTGGGCGGATTTATCAATCCAATTTCTATATACAACAGTATGAAAATGTAGAAATTTAATATATGACATTTTTAATTAGATTTTTAGATCATCATAATCTTAGGGCTCTTGGTGGTTTACAAAATATTTTTCATTGGCAACAGACCTCGTGAGAAGTCAGGTGCTTAGCTGAACTCTATTCTAGAAAACCAAAATACTGTGTCAACAGATTTACAGATGTCATGCTTCTTAGCATACTTTTCAGGTCAAATGGTAAAACGTAGCAAATCTAATGCTATAAATTGTTCCAAACTTACAAGGATATTAATCATTTGGTTTCCAGTGAGAGTTGTTACATTTAAGTCTACACAATCATATATAATAATCTTGGTTGCAAATTACTTATCCCAAAGTATTCAAATCATTCTTCACTAAGGATGGAACTAGAATAATGCATTAACTGCATAAATAGCCTTTAATGGAAGAAAAGACATATAATTCTAACGTAATTTCCTTCCAGGAATTATATCACTAAATTAAAAAGATACAGCAAGTTAGAACAGGCTGTTCCAAGTATGATTTAAATAGTGTCATATAGCCAGGCAAATAACTGTCAATGCCAGAACAGGCACAGAGTTCTAAGAGTAATTTCCCTCCACAAATTAATCCACTAAATTATTCTCCTTGGAACAGAAACCAAACCAAACAAAGATTAATGGCCAACACATAAAATGTGAAGAGGGGAAAAATCATAACATGTCTGTTTGCCCATTACTTTACCTATTCTTTTTCCTCTGCTTTTCTTAACCTTTCCTATTTTTCTCCCATCTGTCTACAAATGCAAATGATTCAGGATGTAAGTAGTCACCCTACCATACCCGGGCCACAGAAATCCAGACCATGGCTGGAAAGCAAAAAGAGACATTGAAAACTCTGTGCTGCCCTCTAGTGGACATCTGGATTTTTGCTGCCCAAATATGATAGGATTATCCAGTGTTCTCTAAACAGCTTCATACAGCCAAGGGTTGGTTGGAATCAGCAGAATCCAAATTGAATACATAAAAAGAAAACAAAATGAAAGGTCTGCAAAATCTTATGTAAAACTACATGCTTTAAATCCATTACTTTGACAAGGAAGTACAAATTGGATACAATTATGCCCAAATGTCCCTGCAGAACAATAATATTTGCCATCTTGCACCTCCCTAACTAAAAAATCCAGATTGGTGTAAGAGCAAGGAACAACAATTGAGACATATGAGCTCTTAAATTCTATACTGCACACTAAAAGCAAGCTCATTTTCCAAAACCATTGACATGTTTAACACAAGCTGTCTTCACACATATAAATAACAAGAAAAAAATCAAGGAAACAGTCCACTAAAGAGAGAAGGCAAGGAAGTAACAGGCAACAGAGAAAAAGCAGTATTGCTTAACTCATTCTTTGCATCAGTCTTCACGCAAAAAGAAACTATAACTCAACCCACCAAAAACAACTGTAAAAGACAGACCAGAAATAAAAGTTAAAATAAGCAAAAAAAAATAGTAAGAGAACACCTGACTGATCTTGATGAACACAAATCACCGGGGCCTGATGGATTACATCCCAGAGTTTTGAAGGAGCTGGCAGAGGTCATCTCAG